ATCTCGAGCCCCGACAACTCACGTGCTTTAGTTTGAGCAAAAAGGGAACGCCGAACGTCTGGTAGGCCTCCTTATGGAAGTGGGCGACGGGCACTAAGAACTCTCCCGCTTCCAGACGCAGCTCATCCTTCGGCGTCTCCTCTATTCTGTAGGTCTTGTTTCCGGTCGGATTGAGACACTCGAGGAGTATGTCTTCGGCCAGTATTGAATTTATTTTATAACTGGTGACCTCCAGGAGCCGTAGTCGCCCCGACCAGTCCTCGTTCATCTCGATCTGCTTCTTGGCCTCATCGATGAGGTCGTGAACCGTTCCGTTTTTGTTCGGATATAACTGTATCTCTTTCTGTTGGGCGGCAAACACCGGGCAAACAGTTAGTGAGAAATCATTCACATTCACGCCAATCACCCGAAAACACAAACCTCTTCCTTGAGTTTGCTGTTAACCCAAACACATTTAAACGGCTTTTTATTCTCGAGTTCATTGATTCGTATCGTGAGCTAAGCGTTACAAATATTTCACAATTAATTTTTTCCGACAAAACACAACCATTTATTTGGCATATTTTCCAACACTTTATACCGAATGTTACAAAACCGTGTATTACCTGTTGATAGTATATTTTCTTTGGTTGCCGAGGCTTGTAGTAAACCAGTATATCCTTAAGCGTGCCGTCGTAGTTACACCTGAGGGGGCCGGCGGGTCCGTCCCGGTAGCTGTTCAGTGAGGAATGCATATTAGCGCACAAATTACAAACACGTGTCAATCAACAAACCTTTGATTCTTGAAGAACTGAATCAAATAGGGATCGGTGCCGAGTCTGGTGGCGACCGCCTGAGCGATCTGTTCGTAATTCATTTTGAGTGACAACTCGATTATAAATCCGGGATCCGTTGGATTAGTCTTATCACAGAACGTCACTTCCACTCTGAACAGCAGATCCTTGAAGTACTCCTTAACGTTTGGTAATTCACATTCGGGTCCCAGCGTGAGGTCCGCCCTCTGAAACACAATGATGTCGCCGTCCATCAGTTCGTCCAACACTTTGTTGAGCGGGGCCTCCAAGTCCTCTATGCGCTCAACCATATTGGGTTTCACCTCCTGATTGATAACGCAATCACTATAGACATCGATACACACCAACAAAACACTGATTCCTTGAATCTTACCTCATACAACTCCAATGGCGTGTCGAGTGGATAACCGGCCTTTTTGTTAAGAATAGGCATTATATCCTTAGTCTTGGCGCTACAGGGAAGCAGACAATGGCCGCAATAACTGATAA